TACCAGAGAATCTCGCCGCCGGACAATAAAGCACCGCGCATATCCACCCAGAGACAACCACAACCCATCATACTCGTACTAAACCCACATAACAACCAGATCTTCATCTCCTTAATGGCATGATCGAGCAATGTAGGGGCGCAAGCCCTAGCTGCAACTATCACCGGATGTTTTGGCATGGCGTATACATGATTAGTCTAGGGTTTCCTAGACTAATAATATCTTAGTCTATATTGTTGGCCCGGGGCCTGGGCCTGGTGTCCAATTCTCTGTTTATCCTTGGTTTGTAATCTTTAATGTTTTGTTGGGCTAGTCCAAAATAGTGGGCCTCTATTGCAATTGGGTCGTAAATCTTGTTTCTATTTATCTATAAAGCTAACTTACCTTCCAAAAAAACAGAGAGACTTCCCAATGTGTAAAAGTGATTATGAATGGTGTAGCAAAATTCATAAAAAGTTACTACGTATTTGTTTATATATTAAATTCTTTCTAAAAGTTCTGGTAGATGAAAATTTGGCCCTAGGACTCAAAAAATATAAAAATAAAGTTTGACTTCTTTTGAGTACAAATAATTTCTTGAAAGATCCAGGATGTGTTATATCAATTAGAGAGAGAGAGAGGAAAAAAAAAAAAAAAAATTTATTCATAAAAATGAGGCTTCTTTTCATATATTAGGGGAAAAGGAGTTTTATCAATTTTCAATATCAATTATTAATTAGATAGGAATTAATATAGATTAAATTAAATTCTATTGGTGGGGACCTAAAATAATTGGTATACAATACTTTCCTCCAAACCTATGTGTAGATATTCTCTCTTTTCATAATACTCATAGGCCATACTATATAAAAATGGAATAACTAATAAGTTTATTTCAAGTAAAACTAGGTTAAACCAAGTTTCGCTAATTTTTCTTTTTTTTTATTTTATAATATTATGATTTATGAAAAACAGTGTTACATTCATATTTTGTCAAAGTCTTACAAATTAGTGCCAGATTTTGCAAATGGCATATAACGTTATAATTGAAAACATCTATTTAAAAAGAGAGATGAACATTTAATAACTTTAAAATTAGATCAGATATGGGCCAAATGAGATACAACATGGGCTAGTTTTAGATGTAATAAATGGACAATCTAAAAGGACAAACAGAATAATAAACCCAAGAGGTGAGATGTAAATGTAGTGGTAGTGATTTGGGCCTAATGGGCCTAATTCATTGTGTTACCTTTTGTAACTAATTGCTATTAGTTAGATATGGTACAATATGGGCTTAGTTAGCCCACGCCTAATGTTTCTTAGTCCAGACCTTAACATATGAAAAATGTACATTTTATAATTTTTTTTATTTTTTATTTTTTTACTGTTTTAAACATTGACTAGATACACACGTAACACACCAAACTACGACTTTGTATGAATATAAGTAAATTACTCTAACCTCCTTTAAAATTTGTCCAAATTATCCGTAACTGAAATTAGGTGAAATTAAGAGTCCAGTGAATTACTTTCTAAATATGAAAATTACTCACTCTCACCCCATCCTTTTCTTTCAGTCTCCCTATTTTTTCCTTCTCTCTCATTCTGGTTATATAAAGTATTTTCTCTCTCACGCACATTGTCTCCTCTACCGGTCTAATCAACCTTAACCCTTTTCCTTGTTTCTCTCTCCCAACAGATTATCATCACATTTTTTTAAAAAAAAAATCTCTATTTTCTCAGTACCAATTAAGTCACCCATAGTATTGGTCCTTTTCTTTTGGGGGGGGGGGGGGGGGGGGGGGGAATTTTGCATCTTTTGATTTCATAGAAGAAAACCCAGAACCTGACCTCCCTCTTCTCCTAGAACTTTGATAAGGAGACTTCACCTATGAAGTTTGACTGTCACACAAGTCTGTAAATCTGGATAAACTCCACTATCTGGGATAAAGATAAAAAGTACTTTCCCCCTTCCGTGTTGGGGATGTAGGAGGTATAATACTCCTTCTTTAATGCAACTTGACACCCTATAAAGAGGGCGTTCGAGTCAACATAAAAGGTACGACACAAATCCCTAAAAGAGTCTTTTAACCTTCTTTTCACCCTCCTAATTTAGTACTGACTTGATCGTCGAAGGCTCTTAAGCCTGTACCACACCAGTATCCCGATCACTTTTTTCTTCCTTTTTCAGGTATGACATCGCTTTGGGTCACCGCAGAATCCTGCATCATTAAACTTAATCTTTACTTTGTTTGTCTATATTTTTGGATCCACTGTTCTTTAATATCCTTCACTATTGATTGTTTTTTCACATATTTTTCTTCCAATCTTATATTTAGTCCTGTTACGAAAAATGCAACAAACCCAAGCAATAATTATGAAACATGACAGAAAAATAAACATACCACACACAAATAATACAAGATTTATATGTGGTTCGGCAAAGCCTATGTTCACGGTGGAAATCCGGCGAAAGTTCTCAATATGTGTAAAATCAGAAATTACAAGTTCCAGTCCCTTATTCTCTTGTTTTGTACACTTTTTAGTGTCTCTCTCTTCCCACTCCAAACCCTAAACACCCTTATATATTGAGTTACAAGAGAGTACTAATTAAGGTTCATGACAAATAACGCGAAAACGGGTAGAAACGTGAAAACGGGTCATGTGCCAAATTCGAGACGCGTACAACATCACAAGTCCTAAAAGCATAAAACCCAAAAAAAAAGTTTCTGGAGCTAAATTTATGTGTGACATTAATTATTCAACACTATATGAATACTTTGTATTTGAGGGTGAATGATGAGGGAGTAAACTACTTTGTGTAATTATCGCAAAACGCGGTCTCAATGGCACTTAAACAGATAAAGACGTGGCCAAATATAAGTCAATTAATGTGCACCACATGGGACAACGTGGCAAAACGACTTCAGAGGATTTGCGCCCCTAACTAGATAGCCTAATGGGAAAAAATGTCATATAACAAGCTGATGGTCGGGAGTTCGAATTCCTTTGAAATCACCTCCACTATTTTCTTTTTGGTAATTTAGTGATGTGGAACAAGGACCCACTGAATTTTTTCAATAGTCGTTTGGTGCACGTGGGATGAATGGGACTAGTGGATTACATGTGTGCGTCCGGTAATGAATTATGGGATATTTTAATAGGCCGGACAACACCATCGTCGACACACACAAAATTGAGTTGAGTTGTTGGAGAAATGCCCTTGCCCCCAACTTTAGTTGAAGATCTTTTCTAAAGATAATATATGGAAATAATGAAACTAAATAAATTAGATTAATAAAATAATATGAGCATAATATGAAACGGAAAAAAATAAATGCTAGACCCCGTTGAATTTTCCAAATAATTGCCGTGTACATAAGAGCCCGATGATAAATTATGAGATGCTCGAGGACAAATAGCACCAACGTTAATGCACGCACACAAGAGAAACATTCCCTCCCCTAAGTTCAGTTGAATCTTGAAAAAATGAAACTAATTAATTTAGATTAATAAAATTATATGTGTATAATATGAAATGGAAAAAAAAATAAAAAAATGTAGGACTATATTAAACGTTTTCGGTAATTATTCGATGCATGTATGTGCTTAATATTAAGTTCTAACTCTAAGAAGTCCAACACCACCATAGTCAACACACACAAAATTGAGTTAGTGTTACTGGGACATAGAAACATCTCCTCTCCCAACTTTAGTTGAAGATCTTTTCTGAACTATAACATATGAAAATAATGATCATATAGATTAATAAAATCATGTGTGCATAATATGATATGGGAAAGAAAGAAAAAAAAATGTCAGACCCCAACTCATCGATTGTGTTGTGGTTCCTACCCCCACTTAGCAATGAGTAGTGTTTATATGAAATTCTGTATAATTTTGTTCCCAACTCTCTCCGTTTAGAATAAATACCCATCCAAAATGAGCCTAACTTAAAGATAAATAGTGAAATAATTTATTTATTATTATTATTATTATTTTGTAATTAGTAAGAAACTCATACATTCCCACTTTGCTTCTTTAGGTACTCGAACCATCACAATCCACTTTAGAAGGTAAAGAAGATATCACTGAACTTGATAGTAAAATAGTTTTTCAACCATAAAAGAAATTTTATACGTATAAATTTTTTTTCAAATTCTCAAATAAAACTTAGAGATTTAATATTATGGTGGGATTATCATAATAGTAAATTAATATTCTCGAATAACAATAGTAAGAAATAACGAAATGCATTATAGCTTAGCAACATTTCCAAGTTTTATTTGAGAATTTAAAATCATGTGTTCATATTATGATATAGGAAAAAGAAAAAAAAATTGTCAAGAAACTCACTGATTGTGCTGTGGTCCCTACACCCACTCGGCCAATGAGTATGAAACCCTTTAGATTAAATACACCTCCAAAACTATTTTTTTAATCTTATTAAGATAGTGAAATAATTTATTTTTATCTTTCACTTTGAAAAATAGAGGAAAAACCACTAGACCACGGGACTTTGGTAGTGAAATAAATTTTCAATCATCATAATAATTTCTTATAATTTTTTTTTTCAAATTCTCAAATAAAACTTAGAAATTTAATATTATGGTGGGGTTATCATAATAATAAATTAATATTCTCAAATAACAATAATAAAAAATAACGAAATACTTTATAATTTAGTGTAATGGGTCGGCGCTTGCCTATTTACCCAATCACTTTTCTATTCGGATTCGATGTGGGACAAATGACTCTCATTATATCCTTCTCCATCCGAACCCACGCAACGCCCTCATTGCAATCGTACCACCCTACCTATCCGGAATGAAAAATTCGAACACCCTTTGAGCCAGGGGTTAGGCATGACACCGGATCAAGAATTGAGTCTTATTATGATATACTTGCTCATCACTTTTACGTACGACGTGGCTTAGCAACATTTCCTCGCAGTAATTAGTCAAGTCTTAAAAGGGACGAATCGTCGTATGAATTTCCTGTGTACCACGATTGAGGAGTTGTAATAGAAAAATCAAAGATTTCAGTTTATTAAAACCACCAAACCCTCATTCTTCAATGGACATTTTGATTGCACATCAAAATTAGCCGTTGAGAGGATGATCAGTCTCTCTCTTCCCTCTTCCGCCAAATTGATCCCGCCATTGCTCAAACCCATAAACCCTTCCCGCCAAAAATTATCGTCCATCCAATCCTTGAAGAACCCCAACTTCGAACCTCTCAAGAACCGTCTGATTCGTCTGGCCAATGTGGGCCACCTCCGCCAAGCAATCTCCACCCTTGATCTCATGACCCAACGTGAACTCGCCCCAGACCTCATCACCTACTCGGTCCTCCTCAAATCCTGCATCAGAACACGAAACTTTGAACTTGGAAAGCTTGTTCACAGCAAATTGTCCGAGTCAGGACTCGAACTTGACTCGGTTGTGCTTAATTCACTGATCAGCTTGTATTCTAAATGTGGGGATTGGGTAACTGCTAATTCTATCTTTGAGACAATGGGTGAGAGTAGAGACTTGGTTTCATGGAGTGCGATGATCTCATGCTTTGCACATAATGGTATGAATTCAAAAGCAATATCTACATTCTTTGAAATGCTTGAATTTGGAGAGAACCCAAATCAATTTTGTTTTTCGGCTGTGATTCAAGCTTGTTCGAACGTTGATAATGCTTCGATTGGGAAAGTAATTTTTGGGTCTGTAATAAAAACTGGGTATTTTGAGTCTGATGTGTGCGCTGGGTGTGCATTGATTGATATGTTTGCAAAGGGTTGTAGTGACTTGAACTCTGCAAAGAAGGTGTTTGATAAAATGCCTGAGAAAAATGAAGTTACGTGGACTTTGATGCTAACTAGATATTCCCAACTGGGTCATGCAAGAAAGGCCATTGACTTGTTTCTGGAAATGGTATTGAGTGGATTTAAACCGGACCGCTTCACTTATAGCAGTGTCATTTCCAGTTGTGCAGAATTAGAATTGTTATCAATTGGGCAGCAATTACATTCTCAGGTGATTAAGTTTGGATTGGCTATGGATATTTGTGTTGGGTGCAGTTTGGTGGACATGTATGCAAAGTGTGTAGGTGATGGATCTGTGAATGATTCAAGGAAGGTATTTGATCGGATGCCTGATCATAATGTCATGTCTTGGACTGCAATTATCACAGGGTATGTGCAAAGCGGAGGTCACAATAAGGAAGCTATTGAACTATACGGCAAGATGGTTCAGGGTCAAGTTTTACCCAATCATTTCACATTTTCCAGCATTCTCAAGGCATGTGGAAATCTTGCTGATTCAGGGATGGGTGAACAAGTTTATACCCATGCAGTTAAATTGGGTCTTGCTTCAGCTGATTGCGTGGGAAATTCTCTTACTAGCATGTATGCTCGATCTGGTAGGATGGAAGATGCACGGAAAGCTTTTGATGTTCTATTTGAGAAAAATTTGGTTTCCTACAACACTATTTTTGATGGCTATGCCAAGAATTTGAATGCTGATGAAGCCTTTGAACTTTTCCATCAAATAAAGGATGCTGGAATCATGTTTGATGCTTTCACATTCGCCAGTCTATTGAGTGGAGCTGCAAGTATAGGTGCCGTGAGTAAGGGCGAGCAAATCCATGCTCGCTTAATTAAAGCTGCGTTCGAGTCAAACCAATCCGTCTGTAATGCTTTGGTCTCTATGTACTCTAGATGTGGGAACATAGAAGCTGCTTTTCAAGTTTTTAATGAAATGGAAGATCGGAATGTAATATCGTGGACTTCAATAATAACTGGGTTTGCAAAACATGGAATTGCAAGAAGAGCTTTGGAAATGTTCTACCAAATGCTTGAGGAAGGTGTAAAGCCGAATGAGATTACATATATTGCTGTTTTATCAGCTTGTAGCCATGTCGGTATGATTAATGAGGGATGGAAACTCTTTAACTCAATGTTCAAAGAACATAGAATAAGCCCAAGGATGGAACATTGTGCATGCATGGTTGATTTATTTGGACGATGTGGCTTTCTCGAAAAGGCTGTTCAGTTCATTGACTCAATGCCTTTCAAGGCTGATGCTTTGGTCTGGCGCACCTTGCTTGGAGCTTGCCGAGTTCATGGTAACACAGAGCTTGGGAAACATGCTGCAAAAATGATTCTTGAGCAAAACCCAAATGATCCAGCAGCTTACATTTTATTATCAAACCTGTATGCTTCAACTGGTCAATGGGAAGATGTAGTGACGATCAGAAAATGCATGAAAGAGAGAAATTTGGTTAAGGAAGCAGGCTGTAGCTGGATAGAGACAGGAAACAAGGTACACAAGTTTTATGTGGGGGACACCTCTCATCCCCAAGCACTGGAGATATATGAAGAACTAGATAATTTGTCTCTCAGAATAAAGGATATGGGTTATGTCCCTAACACAGATTATGTTCTTCATGATGTGGAGGAGGAACAGAAGGAACAGTATTTGTTTCAACACAGTGAGAAAATAGCAGTAGCATTTGGTCTTATAAGCACATCCAAGTCGAAACCCATAAGGGTTTTTAAGAATCTTCGTGTCTGTGGAGATTGCCATACTGCAATCAAATACATATCGATGGCAACAGGGAGAGAAATAATAGTAAGGGATTCAAACCGGTTTCATCATATGAAAAATGGGGTGTGTTCCTGCAATGACTACTGGTGATTATGTTATATTGTTTTGAAATGAATGGAAGTGATGGTCACATTGAGATGGGAGTTCTTTATTCGGTGGAAAAATCTATTTAAGCTTACCCTTCTGATCTGCAGTAGTGGGGATTGGTTAAGGAAAAATCCAAAGGGATCAGTAAGTCCGAATCAATATGATAGATTGCTTGCCGTGTAAGTTGCAAGCATTAGAAGGTTCTCCACTGACTCGTCCTGACAACTTGCGTCTGGATATTCTATTTGCATCTGATTTTACCCTTCAGGATCCATCTTCAATGGGTGTGTTAGATGTACATGTACAAGCTGCAATATATTTTTATATTGGCAAGTAAAACTGATGTCATTTATTTTTTTAGTTTGAAATCCCCAGGCTAAATTGGGAATTGTTAGCTGTGCTGTTCATTTTGCTGCATTGCTGTTGAGTCAAGGATATCTATATATATATCTCAGATAAGTAACTTTAATATCCTGCTCCCATTTTACCAATTCTTCTACTGTCATTAAAGTACTGCTTCATTGAACTTCGAATTTTTTTTGGTTAAACAACAAGAATAAGAGAAAAACCGTAGTCTTCTCCTCCCTCTCCTCTCTTCCAGCTCCCCTTCTTTCAACCTTCCTGCAATCCGTCACTATGAACCACATCCTTCCTTGCTAACCAATCAATTCACCACCCCTCCTGATTCTTATCCCCTCGAAACTCACCTAAGCTTCCTGTCACCCTCAGCCTACACAAAATGCCAGAACAACCCACCCACTCAACCCCACTACCACTGGACCAACTCCGTTTCTTTTTCCATGATTTCGTGAGGTTCCTCCCTGAAGGAATGGAGCATCTGTAATGGACTCATCAAAGGCTGACTTGATTGGAGAAGTGGAGCTGGAGAAATCCATCTCCAGCTTGAAAGCTCAACTAGAAGCATCTCACCGAAATAAGGGAGCTCAGGTGCACAAAATTTTGAGTTCTTAAAATTCAAATTTCTCCCACCTTGCATTGTCACTTCAGATAAACTTTTCCCATACCGAGCTGCCAGGAAAAAAAAACGGAAGCAAAGTTAACCTGCCAAATGCTGACCCATCTGTTGGAAAACGTGCTAGTTTTAAAAACTTTTTGAGGGATTTTTAATTCATAGATCTTGATTCATCACATAGAGACAAGTTTTATGTAAAAATAAAACATGATGTATCATTCAATTAACAGATTAAATACTTACATCAAAGGTCTGAGTAAACCTTTAAAACTTTCCTCTAAAGTGAATGTTCTCACTTATTGTAGATCCCTTAGCAAGATGCCTTCTCCTTGAATCTCCATCTTCTTGGTAATTGTTTTGCCTTTAGGAATCACTCATATGCCTCCATGAATGACCTTGGAAAAATAGGCTTGTGGGAGCCTCTATTAGATGAGAACATAAACCCTAATTTTCTAGAGAGAGAAAATAGCTTCCTTTTTCTTTCTTCCAAAAATCACAACCCAAATATACATAGACCATATATATTTATAGGCAACATAAAAATAAAGAAAAGGAAATAACAAATCCTTCTCAATCTCTAATTCATATGTCTCAAATCTAATATGATTCCAATATCAAGTTGGGCTATAAGTAAGAATCCATTGGGCCTATTATTTTATTGGCTACAATAAATTAATAATTGGCCCGATCCATGGACCCAATTCAATTAATTCATAAATTAATTTCTACTCCACTAAAAGATATTAATTGAACTCCAATTAAATAATAAATAATCTCTAAGTCAATATTGCACTTTGACCCCTTTATGCTTAATTAGTTATCGGATAAATAAAGCCATCAATCCGATTACTTAACTAATATATTTATTTTGGTACCATTGATTATTTCTGACTCGATCACAATAAAACATTTGTTTGACAAAAATAATAATTTAAATAAATAAATATATAATAAATCATTTTGTCTAAAAACACACGAAGGCCTTCGAATTTACTTTGTGATCAACCATAATCAATACAAAATAAATACAAGTAGCAATGATGCAAATATTGAAAATATAACCCTCTAACTATTAATTACATAACTACCCAAAGTGTCGGTCTAAGGATCCCGAAGAATCCGCCGAACAAATCAAAGTAATTATTAATTAATAGAAGAGTTTATACTTTTCTTATGCTTAAGAGTCAAATGCCATGACAGTGATAGGGAGCAATTGCATACGACAGCTTTCACAATATATCTCAACCTAACGCGGATCCAGTTCAAATCTTAATTAATTATGAATCCATCCATAATTACCGACTATGAACCATTTATAATTACTATTTATATATCATGTATTGATTGCAATCACATACATATATATAAATATCTCTTGTAATCAAATGGACACAATCAATTCTATAATGAATCGAAACATAATACATTGAATTCACCAATTGTATAAAACATAAATATTTCAGAAACTTCAGGAACATATGTCACTTTAATCCAAACAGGAATTTACTATGCCAGGGCATATAAATCCCAACAGCTCCCACTTGCCCTCATAGCCAATTCAAATTGCACCTAACTCCAATGTTATCCAGATGATGATCAAAATTATTGATCAATCACACCTTTGATAATGGATCAACAAAGTTGTGTTCCAATGCAATGTTCTAGCTACAAGTACATTTTCTTGCCGGACAATATCATGTAGAACATGATACTTCCTCTCAGTGTATCTTGTTCCTCTATAGAACCTTGGGTCATTGGTTTGGACTACTTCTGCACTATTGTCACAACATAGTTCAATAGGCAGGCTAGTATACTCCACAACCTCTAAATCAGTGAGATCAAACCAATAGACTTCCTTTGCCGCCTTTAAGGCTGCAATATATTCCACCTGCAGGTTTGAGTCAGCAGTTGAAATCTGCTTAACAATCTACCAACTGATTTCTCTTCTATTAAGTGAACATACACTAAGTCATGAACTTCATAGTATCTACTTCTGATTGAAAATCAGAACTAGCATACTTGATTAGGACCATATCATCACATCCATAACTGAGTATGATATCCTTGGTCCTCCTTAGATACTTAATGATATTTTTCACAACAGACTAGTTATCAAGTCCAGGATTGGATTGATATCATCTGACTATCCCTACAATGTAGCGGATGTCCTATTTGGTATAGACCATGGCATATATGAGACTCTCATATGCCAAAGCATATAGTTTCAGTCTCATTTGTTCAATCTCCTCTGCTAGTCTTGGAAAACTACTTACTAAAGAGAGCAATCCATATCAATAAAGCAAGAACTCATTCTTTGAGTTATGCATACCAAACCTGGTCAAAACTTTATCAATTTAGGATTATTAAGATAAGCCTATTTTCCTTTTAACCTAATCTTGCAAAAGCTTGATCTTAGGAATATAGCTTACATCTTGAGAATCCTTCATTTAAAAGTAATTGAACAACTACCTTTTTATTGATGACAAAACTTTCACGTCATTATAAATGAGTAGGATGTCATCAATATATATAGAATCAGAAAAATAATGACATTCCCTTGTACACTCATGATTTATTCACTAAGAAATCTTCTGGTATCTTTTTGTAGATTAACTTGCCTTCCATAGGTATCACCTTACTAGAAAGCTCTACAAGATCCCAAAATTTATTAGAATACATAGATTTCAACTCTGATTTCATAGTAACTCGCCAAAACGATCTGTATCCATATCGGTTCACGCTTCCGTGTAGCTTATTGGGTCCAACTCATGTTTAATAGGGATGTCCATAACGGCCTCACCTAAAAACATGATTCTGTCGGATTGGATAATTATCCTCCCACTACATCAATGTACCGATGAAGAAATCTGTGTACTAGATGATGCTGACGCATCAATAGGGAATTCATCTATAATTCTAAATCTCTATACTAAGTGTGTTCATATATGGTACATCTGGTACTCTTACCATATTCTCTAACACTATGCTACTAGGTATGTGATTCATAATATGATTCTCCTATAGATAAACAGTGAATGTAAACAATCAACTTTTATCATTGAGATCATAAAATAATCCATCCTAGTGACATTTTAGAGTAGCTATCAAATCTATCATGCGTATGATTTGTTTCCAACTTACTTGTCCATATCAAGCGCACATGTGCAAGACTACCCCATATGTGCATGTGATTCAAACTAAGATTTAGTCAAAAACACAGCTCAACGGTATCTTTAAGACAGACTAAGATGGAATGCAGTTCATAATGCGCATCGATGTCATTAACACTAAACTCTTAAATGAAAGAGATAATGTGGCATAACTGATCATAGATCTAACCATGTTAAGTGGAATTCTGTTATTCCTATTTGACACCTAAATGCATTTAGCGTCAATTGCGGAAAACTGGTACACAACACCCTCATTGACCATATAGTCTTTGCACTATCCCAAGAAATACTCATATCCTTGATCAGATCGAAGTGTCTTGATAAGTTTACCTAATCTGTGCTCCACATCAGTCTTGACCCTCTCGGAATATACCAAAAGTATAAGACTTGTGTCGCAACAGGTAAATTTATCCAAAACGTGAGTAATCTTGCTTGGATGTTCATAAGACCACATGTGTTCGTGTCTATCGACTCCAATTATTCTTTATGTCTATTTCATTTGGCTGATTAAGGCCTTAGAGTTATCTATCTTTCAAAACAGGATTCACAAGTTTGGTTTAGGCTCCTCTACCTCACCAGTTAATAAACCTTCTTTGACCAATCTTTGAATCTCATTTTGAATGATTACAACTGATGAGCACTGAAAAGTGCGCATTTAAACCCGTTAAGCTTAAGCATTCTAGTACCTTTATCTATCTTACTTTGCCGTTTTAGACTTATTACGTGTTATTTATATTTTTAGGCACTAATCCCAAAATTGAGCTAACTCAGCCAAATAAGAGCTTAATTGAAGCAATCCTGAGATAAACCAAAGGAGGGAGCAAAGTGGAGAAAGAAAGGAGCAAAAAGGAATCAAGTTGTGCAGCTGAAAAGTTCGATCGATCCAACTTAGAGTTCGATCGATCGAACATCTAAAATCGATCACAGTACTTTTCGATAGATCCAACCTTGGCCTTTGCTGAAATTCCAAGTTCGATCGATCGAACATCACCTTCGATCGATCGAACCCTATTTTGTCCTATTCAAATGATTGATCTTATCCACAGCTGTACGCCTACCAACCACTTTTGTCTTTTTCCCCATAAATATCTTGAAAATATCCCAGCCTTGTCATTATCCGGAGGAGTCAGACCACTTTGATCGATCCAAGATGCAGTTCGATCGATCGAACCCATTTTCGATCGATCCAAGTTAAGGTTCGATCGATCGAACTTCCTCCAGCGAGAAAAAGTTAAAGTCCAGCTCATTTATTCCGTCCTTCATCCAATCATTGGAGAATATGTCTTGCACGACCACAGCTCATCATGGGGTGTATTTGACCTACCT